TATTACTTGAATTGTGTGCAATTCAATGGGTTCTTAAGCATTAGTCATGCAATTGATTGCTATTTAATCAATAGATATAATACTTGTTGCGATTTTTTCCATTATTTTATATAGATTTAATAAATGGCACTATTTTACAAAATTACATTGCAATCAATTATCATAGATTTGTATCAATTCATGTTAACTACAAATGCAATTCAATTCTTCAATCTTTGCATTCCTTAACACTTTTGATCAAATTCTGGACAATTTTTTGCCCAATTTTTGGGCCAATTTTTGATTTTGTCTTAACTTTGGCTATGAGTTAAAACGAGTGGATTATTGGCACTGAAATTAGTTATAAACAGATTCATTACAATTAGACAATGAAATGATAATTAATGAATTTGTGAATTGAGGTAACATTTATACCAAATTCAATGATTAATTAGTTTTTTGATTGTAAAAGTTATTGAAAAACGTATGTATTGTACGAATGTATGAATGGCTGGCATTGCGTTCAACATTAGGTTAGGATTGCATTGAATAAGCGTTGAATGCATTGAGAAAAACATCGCTTTCTTCTGACTATTTATCTCTCAATCGATTTGTTGTTTAAATACTAATTAAATGTATTTACAGTTAAGAGTGAACGCAATCATAGCCTCTGTTAACCACTCTATCAGTAAATTATAGTTTAGTTTTTGAAATGTTATGTTTGATTGACTTGTGATTCAAATGATGTCCAGACGTGTTGTGGGAGTGATTGTGAGAAGTGGTCGCAAACAAACCAACAATTTTCTTGTAATCAAACTTACCATTCATTTCCATTGAGACACACATGTCTTCACACAATCCATACCACTATCGCATCCCATTTGATGATAATTTTAATGATAACTAATGGTATGATTTCTATCTAACAGATGTATGGCTTCAGTGAGCCCTCCGTTTATCATGCATTGGTCGTCATATTCCTCGAGTTCTTCGCGTGGGGTCTTCTCACCACTCCTATGATTACCGTATGTCTCAGTCGGCACATCTGTTCCCACCATTCATTCAACGCATTTATTTCTCATTTATTCTTAAGGTATTGAATGAGACGTTTCCGAACCACACATTCCTCATGAATGGCTTAATTGTTGGCATTAAAGTCAGTATTAATTGTTCACATGATTATTATGTTAACTCATGAGTGCTTTTTTGTTAATCATTATAAAGGGATTCTTATCATTCCTGAGCGCACCCCTTATCGGCGCTCTCTCTGATCTCTGGGGCCGCAAATTTTTTCTATTATTAACCGTATTCTTCACGTGTTGTCCCATTCCTCTCATGCGATTGAATACATGGTCTGTATTGAGCGGATGTTGTAATCCTTATGTGTGATGTCTGACAGAGTTGTGTCTCATTTTAGGTGGTATTTCGCGATGATATCGCTGTCGGGTGTGTTTGCGGTCACGTTTTCAGTGGTGTTCGCATACGTGGCCGACGTAACCACAGAACACGAGCGGAGTTCTGCCTATGGACTCGTTTCGGCCACATTCGCGGCCAGTCTGGTCACGTCGCCCGCGTTGGGCGCATACCTGAGCGCTGTGTACGGCGACAGTCTAGTCATATTTTTAGCAACACTTATAGCTATTTTGGACGTTTTATTCATCCTATTCTTCGTTCCCGAATCATTGCCCGAAAAATTACGGTATAAGTCGATCTCATTGTGGGAAACGGCCGACCCTTTTGTCTCACTCCGCAAAGTAGGCAAAGATAAGACTATATTAATGCTCTGTTTGGCGGTATTCCTGTCATATCTGCCCGAAGCGGGTCAGTACTCCTGTTTCTTCGTTTANATCTCATTGTGGGAAACGGCCGACCCTTTTGTCTCACTCCGCAAAGTAGGCAAAGATAAGACTATATTAATGCTCTGTTTGGCGGTATTCCTGTCATATCTGCCCGAAGCGGGTCAGTACTCCTGTTTCTTCGTTTATTTGAGACTTGTTATGAATTTCTCGGCCGAAGACGTGGCGTTGTTTATCGCTGTTGTGGGCCTGTTATCAGTTGTGGCTCAGGTATGTGTACTCATCGATTGTTTTTAGTTTTCATTATTGAATGACTTGAAAATTGTATAAATAAATAGACGGCAATGCTATCAATGCTGATGAAGACATTTGGGAGCAAAAACACGATAATGTTTGGCCTTTTGCTTGAAATGCTTCAACTAATGTGGTATGGGTTTGGCTCTCAGACGTGGATGATGTGGACGGCAGGCATTGTGGCCGCACTCGCGTCCATCAGTACGGATATTAACAGTTTGTTGTCGATTAGTATTTAAATTAATTGCTTTGTTTCTACGAACAGCTTATCCGAGTATAAGTGCATATTCATCGATGGGCGCCGACGCCGACAAACAGGGTTTAGTTCAGGGACTCATCACTGGTATCAGAGGGTTGTGTAATGGTTTGGGTCCAGCCGTCTATGGGTTTGTGTTTAATTTATTTAACGTCGATCTGACGCATAACGTGCCGGTCGTCGGCCAATACCCGGGCGGCGGAGAGAGAGGCGCTCTTATAATGAACGAGCATTTAATGAACTCAAGCATTCATGCATTGCCTCAGAATCAACTGATTCCGGGCCCGCCTTTCGTTTTCGGAGCCTTTTTAGTGTTTTTGGCGATTCTTGTGACAGCGATAGGCATTCCGGAACTCATTCAATATCCGTCTCAACACAACAGTGAGAGTAATCAACACAACAGTTCCGGAAGGACGGGCTCTAAATACTATTACACGTCAATGCAGTATCAAAGGGGTGACAACCAGTGCGTCGGTTCCAATGCCATGGATGGTAAGGCAAGTCCTCTCGGAAGTGCTGACGAAGAAAATGTGAGCACTTCTCTTAAATCCATTGCCAGTCCTCTCCGGAAGAATGAGGACAAGAGGTATGAAATGCATAAAAGAGGGCCAATGAGTAGTGAATCCCAATTACCATTAATGCAAGACTTGGACCCGTTATGAGTGAAACAAAGTTCTGTGATCTCTAACTAATTGTTGTCTTTATTTGCGATTCGTTATCATATTCTGTAAAATATTGTTTTTAAAACTCATTTCTATAATATTATTACTTTTATTGCAATTATTGTGTAAATTCTATCAATAAATGTAAAGCCGAATATATTTTAACGATGTTTTTAATAATTGAAACAAAATGTGTTTTGCATTAAATCTAATTTATTATAAAAACTAAATAAAAAGCCTTTCGTTTTGTGCACTTCACACAAATGTTTTGACAATTTTTGACAAACATTTTATTTTCATAACTTTGTTAAAACATTTTTTGTAATCATTTTATATTTACAACCAATTTATGGAAACAATAATGCATTAAATGATTAAAAATTTTATGTCACCCAAGAATACCGTTTGGATTGTAACTCATTTTATTACCAAATATTACCGAATGTTATAATTAATGTTTTAGACATTGATTGCTGTGTTTTAACAATATTCACATACTTTCACAACTCATACAAATTGCTAAAACATATTAATTTGGGCTCAAATTAATTCATTATATCAGTCATTATGTAATTAAAGAAATAATAATTTACACATTTCTGTAACTATTAGTTATATTCAGTAAATAATAATAAATGCATTGAAAGGCAAAGAATTTTTGGCAAATGTTTAGCTCTTGTGAGAGTGAGTCCTCCCATTCCTACCCAACACTACACCTAATGTTAGGCAATGAATGACTGAATGCAAGGAAAGCGTGATTTCTATGTGAAGGCAAACAATATTTTGCATTTTCATCACATTATTGGCCAAAACTCGATACAAATTCATGCAAATTATGTTTCTTTGAATTCATTGAGTATTTGTTGTATTCTTTAAAACATGCGATTCTTATACACGTGTTGTCACCAAAAGTGTCACAATTTACTCATTTAATCACTAATTATATGCAATTAATATATCAATGATTTATTTGATATGATTATTGTTTATTGAGACAAAAGTTTTGCATCAAAAATGGTAAATATTGACAAAGAAATGAATGATTGAATCGTGAATTGAATGTGAATTTGTTTTAATTGAAGGCATTATTTGGTTTACAACTGGTCTTCACATTAATATTATTGAGTGTTTTGAATAAACTTTCGGTCCGTTATTCAATCGGTCGATGGCTTCTCTCCAAAGGGTATATCCATTCATACCATTCATTTGATTTGATTATCATTTGTGTTAATCTATTAACCAATTGATAGTTTGGTTCGTTATTTGCATCCAACGGATCACGAGTTAAGACAAACGATAGGTTATCCCAAAAACACAAATAAAGGCAAAAACCGAAAGGAGAATAAAGAGCAACAAAACAATACATTTAATGTTCCTAAGGATATATCGCTCAGCCTTGAGGCCAAACCTCTGGAACTACTAGATGTGATTCAATTGCCATACTATGCGGAACTTCAATGGCTTATTGACTTCGGAGTCTATGCTCTGATAATATACTTTTTGACTGAATTTTACTACTTTTTAGTCCCGAATAGTACTGAATATAATTTAAGTCTAATTTGGTGTTCACTTGTCGTGGCCTTCAGTTTGTAAGGACTTCTCGTTTTGAAATGTTTTACTCAATTAGTATTCATTCAATGTATTTGTTTTGATATTTAGGAAAATATTGTTTTCGATAACTGGTCTCTACTTCAGAGGTGGAGACGAAGCCATAGGCGAGAGATCTCTAACCATAGTCTCTGGATCTCTATTCTTCTTGACAGCGATGGTTGTCTTAATAGCCGACGAAAACTTCTTGGAATTTGGATTAGTTCCGGCCTATAAGAGCTTCAATGAAAGTGCATTTAAACTGTTAGAAACTCAATCTCTGAGCGATGGGGTGGGGAGTGGACCCACTTCTCTACTAATGGTGAAGTTCTTTCTGTCCATTTGGTGCGCTCTTATCGGAGCCTTCTTTACATTTCCCGGTCTTCGTGTGTCTAAAATGCATTTCGATGCCATCAAGTACTCCGCCAACGATCGCATCGCTCTGTCAGTCCAACAATTATTGCTAACATTTTATGCATTTCTATTCATTTGTCAATTTCTGTTTCGTTTTTAGGGTTTTATTGAATCTGAGTTTCATTTCTCCGCTTTTCGTAATACTATTATGGGTTAAACCGATTGCCAGAAATTACTTAACTGTCAAAACCTGGTCATCGAGAGGCGCGATGTGAGCATTACTTTCTCTATAATATAAATAAATGGAAACATTTAATGAAAACTTCGACACAAATGCCAGAATGAGTTCCGATAGTTTCGAGACGACAAGAATTGTCGTAATACTGGTTGTGATTGGTTTGCGAGCGTTTCTCACCCGTCGATACCTTCAATCGTATCTGAATATCGCACCACAAAAGCTGACACTCATGAAGAAAGAGAAGGGACGCATCACTAATGTTGATCTCCAGAAATTGGTTAGATATCCAATTATTTACAAATATGTTTTAATAACATTTTGCTTGACATTCACCGACAGATCGCTCGTGTGTTTCACTACTTGTGTGTCGTTACTCTTCAGTACATTTCTCCGCTATTTATTTGTCTGTTTATGACATTAATAATGAAGACTTTGGGAAATTATTCGTGGATTACTCTATG